ATTGGCATGAGGGTTGTTTGTTTGGACCGACAGAGAAATGGAGCTGCTCCTAAATGTGTGTTAGAGTACAGAACAAGTAAAATACTTAACTTTCCATCACAGGAGTGTTATAATTAGCTATGTTTCAAACTATCACGTATTCTGAATCTGTATTTCTCCACTGAACCTATGGTCCTGTTTTGCTTTTTTCTGCTGAGCACAATCCACGTCCTTGAAGATAACATGGTCGGTGAGAACTGGTCACATACTGGGAGACAGTGGATCAGTTGCTTTAGATACACGCCTTTTGGACAACACACACACACACACTTTTGTATTCAATACAAGCAGTTTCTGTTTACATTTCAGTGAACTTCCACGTGAACAGTGGTTAGCCTGTTAACGTCACAGTAACTGACCAATTGACCTCGATTGCATACAAGTCCAAGCTCTGTTCGGGGCAGGCCCAGCCCAAGAAGACATCTGTAACATCTGTAAAAACTCAGTTCAGCTGGACATGAGGTTACTCTCTGTCTCTCTGAATCCAGCGCTGCCTCACTTCACCTGTGACGTAAATAAATTCTACATCTGAGAACCGAAGAGTTCTCCGGTTTGTTCTTGGGCTTCCAACTAAAGAATCAGGTTAACAGTAGCCAAACTGTAAACATGGGTCGCACACATATGACGCTGATGACGCTTTTGTCGCACACTGTGATCGTTTTCAGCGACTTGTAGCTTCGTTAACGTGTAAACCAAAAGCCCAAGCGCATTGAAATATCACCGTTTTTGCTACGTGTAAACGGGGCCTAAGAGGCATGTATGTTACATGTTAAAGGAAATCATGTTTTCATTCATTTTTTCACTCCCACTCTGTTTCCCCCCCACATATCTTTCCACAACATTTCTGCCAAAAGAATCCGATATGGCTGATAATTTCTGATTTGGCCTGGAACAACAGAACCTCAACTGTCGCCAGGATGTCTGCACTGCAGGGAAACCATCTCACAGGGAGACAGCAATTCTAGCTTGTTTTTTTTTTTTCTTCTTTATAACACACTGATAAAGATTTGTCAAGGAGAAAATAAAGTTGAGAGAAGTTGCGTCTGCATGGGAAATGTTTCCAATTGGAGTGCATGTCACTGATGTTCTTCAAAGACGCTTCTTCAAGGTGTGTGTGACAGTGGAAGAGGAGCAGTAGGGGGTGTAGCTGCTCCTGCCTCTGATAAGAAATAACTTTTAGTGACATGCTGACCGCTGATGCTGCGAAGCGATGATGTGCTTCTCGGACACACAAAACCCACACACCCGCCAAGAAACCCACACACATGCAAGCCTTTGTCGACTGTGAAATCTCATCTCCCTCTGATGTGTGAGGAAAGCGTCCCCTCCTCCTCCTCCTCCTCCTCCTCCTCTTCCTCCACGGGGCCAGACGATAAACAAAAATCACTAAATGCTGCACCGATAACAACAAACAGAAGACACATCTGAGAGACCAAACCAGCATCTACAGATTACTCACGCTCCCCGCTTTAAATCAGATCTATTATTTTGTCATTAGTCATCGCTGAAGTGACGATCAGGCAGGGATGGATGGCAGAAAAAGAAAAGACTGGACAGATTTGACTGAGGAGAGCGAGATGTGATAAGAAGAAAGGAAAGGCGACAGTTCAGAGAAAGTGTGTGGGTTGACAATAAGCAGAAAAAGGCTCTGTGGTCATGATCTGATGTACTTCTGATTACATATTCAATAGTTGTACGGCAGGGAGTTGAACCTACAGAGACTGAAATTTTACACGTATTCTATGTTCTACCTGTCAAAGCGCTTTGTGAAATGTTGTTCTTGACGATACTATAAAAATAAAGTTATTATTATATTATATTGAGGGTTGCAAGGTGGAGCAGTGGTTAGCACTGTTGCCTCACAGCAAGAAGGTCGACGGTTCGCATCCTGGTGAGGACACCGAGATCGTTCTTGTGTGGAGTTTGCATGTTCTCCCCGTGCAGCGTGGGTTCTCTCCGGGTTCTCCAACTTCCTCCCACAGTCCAAAAACATGTTGAGGTTAATTGGTGATTCTAAATTGTCTGTAGGTGTGAATGTGAGTGTGCTTGGTTGTCTGTCTCTAAGTGAAGCCCTGTAATAGACTGGCGACCTGTCCAGTCAGCTGGGATAGACTCCAGCCAATCCAATTATAAAAACATTCAGTTGAAAGATTCACAGTCACTGAAGAGCAGTTTTTATGATTCACGTGTCCATTGCAGTCAGGAGGAGAATTTACTGAATGGTGTGTTGAGGTCTCAAGGTACTATGCAGCTTATTTTTCCCACAGACTCAGTCAATAAACCTCAAATCAGTATGACACTAAATACATATTAACCCCAAGCATTGTCTGCGCTTCTTTTTTGTTCATCGCAACATAAAGTCCCACACCTCTATGGAAACAGCACAACCATGGCTAGAAATAGAGAGAACACCTAAATGTCTTCTCTGCAGAATAGCACAGTTATAATGCCATGAACAAGGATCAACATGTACAACATTTGTCAAAGTGCCCACAGCTGTTGACAACACTGGAAACAAATGGGACTCCACATGTTATAGATATTTAACTGCATGTTCGACTCTACTCTGCACAGCAGCTCTAGAAAGATATTTCACCATGCACAGTGTATCCTCCACCAACCTGCTGACTGTGTGCTTCTCTGTACACTGTTGACAACAGCTAAATTTGTTTTGTGGGAGTTTTTTTTTTTCATAATTTATTTGTGCAAATGGTTTATTTTGAGAATTTTAAGAGAATTAATTGGTTTTGATGAAATAGCTTATCCTAATTTTAAGATTAGATTGAGTTAATTTTCCAGACAAAACCACAAGCCAAACACGATTAGCTTAAGAACCGTCTGGACGTAGAAAACCTCATGATTCCTTCTGTTGCTACAGTTGCTGCCACTGATAAACCCTTCAACCTTGGCAGTTTTTTTTAATATTAGCATGCCTTTCAATCCCACCAGCAGGTTTAGGGTTTGAGGGGATTAAAAGGAAACACATATACACATGTAAACTGCATTTTCTTTAATTCTTTGCAACTATTTTCAATTTTGCATAAAAAAACATTCATCATGAAGCAATATTATGTGTCTGCGGCAGCAAAGGAGGCTGCAGAATCGGTGTTGTACGACCACATTTCTCGGACCCTTGCTTTCTGTAATATCGCCACCTGCCAAACTGGATGATGGCTAAAGTGTTCAACTTATGGTTTTAAAAGTTTATTCTACCAATTAGTACTTTCTAACTAACTAGGAGGATTTTCTCCCCAACAGCAGCTGGCTTCATGAACAAGGACAGAGACTGCCAGTGACATTGCCTCCCGTACTTGCATGTGACCACACAATTGGCAATAAAACTGGTTTTAAAGGTTTTTTTCCCCACCCAAATAGTACTCTCTAATTAACGAGTTACAGTTTTAAAGGTTTATTCCACCTTGTTGTAAAGCTTTTTTTAACCCAAAAGTGAACATAAGGTAAGGTAATGGAATATAAGGGTGACTGAAATACAACTTTTTTTCAAAATACTTAATACAAAATCCCCAAAAAACTACTTTCTGTCTAGTACTTGTAATTTTAAAGGTTTCTTCCAGCCAAACATTTTGGACCAATTAGTTTCTAACTAACAAGATATTATTGAAGGTGTATCTCACCAAAAAATACCACTTTCTCTCCAGTTTTAAAGGTTTATTCCACCCAAAATACTATTTTCTGTCCAAGCACATGTGGTTTTGAAGGTCCATTAAAGCCACATTTAAGATTTTAATCAAATTGTTGTTTTAAAACCTTTATTCTGCCCAAAATAGCACTTTCTATCCAAGTACTTGTAGTTTTTAACGTTTCTTCCACCAACTAGTGCTTTCTTTCCAAGTACTTATAGTGTTAATGGTTAACAGAAATTGTGCTTTCTGTCTAAAAATGTAAAGGCTTTTCTTTGCCAAACACAATTTCCTGTTCAAGTACTTATACTTTTAAGGTTGTTTTCTACCAAAATTGTATTTTCTGTCCAAGCAGTTACAGTTTTATAAGTTCATTGCATCCAAAACATTACTTTCTGTCCAAGTACCTGGGGTTTGAAGATTTACGTCAGCTACATTTAAGTTTTTAATTAGCAAGTTGTCGTTTTAAAACCGTTAGGCCGCCCAAAATATCACTTTTTATCCAAGTAATTATAGTTTTAAGGGTTAATTTGACCAAACCTGTATTTTCTGCCTAGGTTGTTATAGTTTTAAAGGTGTATTCTGCCAAATATTACTTTCTTTCCAAGTACTTATAGTTTAAATGATTAATGGTTAATTCAAATTGTACTTTCTAACTCAAAAGTTATGGTTCAAAAGGTTTTTCCCTGCCAAACACAATTTCCTGTTCAAGTACTTATAGTTTTAAGGGTTTCTTTTTCGACCAAAATTGGATTTTCTTTCCAAGTAGTTATATTTTTACAGGCTTATTCCACCCAAAACACTTTTTTTTCTGTGAAAGTACTTGTGGTTTTAATGGTTTATTCCCCTGAAATAAAACGAGTTATGGTTCTAACAGTGTATTACAGTCAAAACTGTACACAATTCATTTGTTGCTCGTTACCTAAGGCTGCCTCTGCCTTTAGGTAAACAAGCCGCGGCCATGTTGGACCAGAGCGTAGTTAAACCTCCTGTTACCTTCAGATTTACTGACATCTTTTATCCTTGGGTTTAATTTGACCCCAGAAATTTAAACCTTTATAAAATATCAGAAGTAAAATTGTTGCCCAAGTTTATATGTAAATAGCCCTTTTGGGGGGAAAAATTAATGTCAGTGACTTATTTAGAGATGTTAAACAGTGAATGGGGTCAAACTGACTCGACACTGGAGATAAAACGCGGCGCCAAAGCCCGCTGCGGACAGCCCGGTGGTCTCGTGAGGTCCGCTCCCCTCACCGCCGCGAGACGTCGCCGTTTCTCCGCGTCCTTCCCCTTCCGCGCGCCCGCTTGCCGTCTGCCGCTGGGTCACGTGACACACATGTCAGGGGACAGCATGGCGGACATGCATGTGGAGCCTCAAAACAAATCGCACCGACTGTCCAGCTAACCCCGCCGCGAGGAAAACCCTCCGTTAGCGCGTGTGAAGGCGGGCCGGCGGCGCCCGAGCAGACAGCGCGATGGACGACGACAACAAGCTCCAGTTCCCGTCTCTGCCCGCGACCAAGGAGGACCTTCTGGTGAGAACACTGTGTCGGAGCGGCTAATCTGAGCTAACCGTCCTCCTCTGCGCTGCGAAAACACGAACCCGGCAGCAAAATAAGGCGTTTCGGGGACCGTGACATGTCGGTGTGGACGTGTGAACCCGTGTCGAGGCGTTGTTTGAGTGTCGATGTTTGTTCTCGGAGCCGACACCGAGCAGCCTCCTGGCGTTAGCCACGTATGTACACAAAGTAGAGCCGCGTTCACTTCTCCCCCCTCTGTCCGCCTCCTGCTGCCACTTAGGCCGGGCTCACACTACACGAGTATCCGGCCGATTTATCCCCGTTTTACCCCCACTTTATCCCCGTTTTACCCCCGCTCTTTCCCCGTTTACCCCCGGAGAAGAAGCCCGGTCTGACCCCATGCCAGCCCAGATTGTTCGGTAATGTGAGGGCTTCATAGATGTGGTGTTGAAACTGTTCACAGACTCGTCCAGGTTGATATCAAACATGTTTTCATATTTATCGGGTGGTTGTTTCGCAGTGGACAAGCAGAGCTAACCCTGCTAGCCCTGCAGGCTACCAACACTAGAACCGACACCTCATCTCTCTTCTCACTCTCTTGCTGCAGAATGACAGCCGATGTTGACTGCAACCGTTTGTCTTGTTTAGAAAGAGGCCTTTGTGTTATTTTCCTGCCTACCGAGTGTCATCAGCATTACAGCAAGTTGTACACAGGCTTTATTTTGTTTACATGTTTCCCCCATGAGGTGGCTCACTGCTCACTGTAACTTTAAAGATCCCCCTCTGCTAACATCTCAGGCGTGAGCAAAGCCACACTAAATGCTGCCTGCAAGAGTGAACACAAGAGTCTTGATGCACTTCCAGCATCTGAGGAACTGAAAACCCAGTAAATTACTGTTATTAGTGATGGCCGTGTGTCCTGTGCTTGTTCTCTCTGTGGACGTCTCTGAATCCAGAGCTTCACATCTCTGATCTGGCCTCAGCGACCCCCAAAATATTTATATTTATTGTCCTGTTCTGTTGCTTGCTCTCCATCTGCTGTCCCGCTATCCCAACTCCCCTAATCCCCACTCTCACCCAACCGGTTGACACAGATGGCCGCCTTCCCTGAGCCTGGTTCTGTCTGGGTTTGTGGGGTTTTTGGTTCCTTCCCGTGTTGCCACCCACTTGCTCAAAGGAAGTCAAACTTGGATTGTTGGGTTCTCTGTTTAAAGTTGTAAACATTAAGCGCTGTGAGAGGGCATATGTTATAAACTGCGCTATACAAATAAAATTGAATTGAACTGAACACAACATCCTTAGTGTTAGCACCTTCTGAAGCTAATGTGGCTAAAGTTACCAGGACTCTGTGGAAACTGCAATTTCAATCATAATGTGGGAACTTCAACAATAACCCTTAGCATGTGATGTACCGTTATTTTGAAATCTTGCAGCATGTACACGTCTTGAGATGGCTGTGATGTGTCTGCTTACGTGTGTGATGCAACCAAATTTCAAAATCCATCAAGATCCTGTAGTGTGTGCCTGGCCTTAGCCCAAGTTCCTTCAGCTCATAACCTCGCTTTTGAATTATCTTGTCTTACAGGACTGGGCTTATCCAATGAGACGAGAAATGCAGGTATGTAAACAGAGTCTGCTGTGGGAAGGAAAACCTACTCTTGTTTCAGTGTCTGCCACATTTATCACCAATTTCTGTATGAACACTGCCACAAAAATGCGAAGTGTCCCAATGTCTATCAATATTAAAAATATACTAACACATTCCTAATAGTAGTTGTGAAATCCTAATATTTAGAGACACAAATGTCATATGCTGAAGTGCTGCTGTGTGTGTGCTGTTTATGACGATGTGCTGCTTTGTTTATTTTCAGGAGATATTGCCAGGACTGTTTTTAGGTCCCTACTCTGCTGCAATGAAAAGCAAGGTAATTCTTATAGAAGTTCACCTTTGACCCTTGGACACGGAGATGCAAGTAAAAGAAATACACTTTGCAGTCATTCAGGGCTCATTATACTTCTCTCTCTTTGTCTAGCTGCCAATTCTTCAGAGACATGGCATAACGCATATCGTGTGTGTCCGCCAAGACATTGAAGCCAATTTTATCAAACCTAACTTCCCTCATACATTTAGGTAAGTAAGCACTCCTGTGCCACTTAAACATTTGATGTGACAAGCATGCTGCATTGCAGTTTTTCTTTTGTTTGGAAAAAAGTGTAAGTCTGATTTCATAAAGTGCTTTCTTGCAGATACCTTGTGTTAGATATTGCTGACAATCCAGTGGAAAATATAATCCGCTTTTTTCCTATGGTGAGTTACACAGTGAGCCTGTGACTTCTCTCTTGGCAAGCTTTGCATTGACTCAACGCTGTGACATTTGCATTAGAGCTGATATACAGTACTTCATTGTCCCCCTTACAGACTAAAGAATTTATTGATAGCTGCTTAGCGACAGAAGGTAAGGACACATGCGCTTCCCGTTTGTCATGCTCAGAATGTCTCGTTTTATCGGTGTCGTGTTTTATCAACAATCTGCTGTGTTGCTCTTTTAGGAAAGGTACTGGTTCATGGTAATGCAGGGATATCAAGAAGGTGAGGTTTGTTTCTGATAATACATCTCTTCATGTTATCATTTACAGAATTTCTCTTCTATTCTCTTCTATATTTCACTTATTGCATCCCAGTATGTATTGGATTGCAACAACTGCTGCAGTTGTCTAAAATGTTCCTGTATTTATATTGTCTTCAACTAAATTCTGAGACTAGAGCAACAAATGACAGAAGTTAATTTCTTACTGTGTGTATTTACACGCACTTAAAGGTGGAGTGTGTTCATCCAAACACACACTTTGTCAAACTCAGTGAACATCAACAATCTTTCTCCAGGATCAGAGACTCCAAGATACAGTCCACCGTCGAAATGAGCAGATTTTGTAAATGTCAACGTGAATGAGCCCCCAGACTCACAAAGGCTCTTATTTTACCACCAGCTGTTTTAAATGGCCCTAAAAGTTCCTAAATAAGAGCTTCATCTTAAGAGCTATTGACAAAGCTGCTCAGAGACACTTTTGGTAAAAAAAAAAAAAGCAGGAGAACTGTAAAAGATAAACTGTGGAGTTTCTGACCACTGATAGACATTGTTTATTAGTGGCTGCCTGTATCGTGGATACCAACAAGGATACATGACCACACATGTGCTGCGATTCACATTCTGACATTAAATTCAAGTTATGTAGCCGTGTGGTACAGTGCTGCCCACTTTATGTCATACCGCTTTATAGAATACCCTGTTTATAATCATAGAATATCAAAGTCCACAATCAATCTGTATAACCTACAGTAAAACAGTCCGTTTATTGTCATAGAATAATGTCATGATCCTGGTTTTTGTCACAACAAAATTCCCCGAAATTGATTCCAGGAATAACTTTTGTCCGTTTAAAGTCGTGGTCGGCTGATCGTTACGCCTCACAGGCCGAGTGTCAGTCATGCGTGGCAGATTATCACCCCGGTCAGCCGCAGAAGGCAACGTGTTTGTTGATTACCTGCTCACCTGAGATCTGCTTCACTGAGTTATTCACACAGTCTGTCCGTCTTGAAGCCCGCATGTTGGAATATCCCGGATACAGTATTAATTTCATCCTGGACTGAGGGTGTGATAATAAACGGGCAGCACTGTCATTCATTCATGGTGGTTTTGTAATAGAGCACTAACAAAGGCAGGTAACAGCAACACACATGGAAGTAGACGAAGTAGGACATAAAACATTCTTTAAAACGATCTGCAAATATTGTGAGTAAAGAAATGCGTTTCTTTTGTCGAGAGTAGACACAGGGTGTGTTTTAAGAGCCACCTTTAAGAGCCCTTATAGTGTGGATACATGAGGTTTTATGAATTAACTTTCTGTTAAGTTGACAGGTGACTCGTCTGTCTCAGTGAATTCATTTCAGTAATAAATAGATATGTTGAATGTGGTATTTTTCCAGTTTACCAAACAAATCATAATTAACAAGGTAGTTCGACCAATAACAAAAAATATGTGTACTCAACATAACTTTAAGGCAGAGGTCTCAAACTCAGCTTACCCGGGGGCCACTGGCGTCTGAGTGGGGCTGGGCTGCATCAAGTATTCCACAAAAAAAGGGTTTCAAGTACTCAAAAAAGTACAGCTGATCCAATCTTCTCAATCTTTATTAACAACAATTCAGAACATGAACGGTTCTACTGAACATAGACTTCTCTTACCTGCTCCTGCTGCCAGAGACCTGGCAGTGCTTCCTCTTACACAGCTGAGCCACATTTGGTTTGAGGGAGAAAGCAGTTGAGACAATATAGCCTGAAGATGCTCATCAGTAAGTTCGCACCTGAACTTTGACTTATTGAAGTTCATGGTGGAGAAGAACTTTTCACACAGATAGGAGGGAGGAAAAAAAAGAAACGCATTTGCACTGGGTGACAGGATATATTTTCTCTCCACTCAGTGACACTCCCGAATCATGTTTCAAGTGACTAGCATTGCTAATTCGCGCTGCTGTCATGAGCCTAAGCTATGGTAGCCCACAAGTGATAAAAGATGTAAAACGCCCAGGGCAACGACTCACGTAGGTGTGTGAGAAAAATGTGTGGGCTGCACTCACACTGAACTTTGATGTCAAGTAGAGGGCCACAAAATATCATCCCGCGGGCCTCAACTGGCCCGTGGGCCACGAGTTTGAGACCCCTGCTTTAAGGTCATTTAGACTCAAAGGAGCATTTTGGTTTAATTACTTAGTAGTGCAGAGTTGTGCAAATCATTCTTTACTTGTTGGAAAACCGACTGAAACTCTTTACTTGCATGACTATGAAAACATTTTGCCTTTAAAAGCTTTTTATTGCTCTTTACTTCCTTTTGTGATCAAACAATTTACCTGCAGGATCTGGTTATGAGTTTATTGCTTTGTGAATCACTCTCAGGTCAAAAGCACAGATTTCTGGTGAAACCTAGATCGCACACACACAAGCGTAACAAAGACGCATAGAGAAACTCACAGCTGCACCAATTATTCAAGTAACATGGTTCTGTCTGCTTTGTTGTTTCAGTGCTGCCTTAGTGATTGCATACCTTATGGAAACATTTGGGATGAAATACAGGTGAGTGGTTTTTTTTAACCTCACAACAGTATATAAATACTGTATCACCAAATGTGTTATGCAGAGTAATAGTTAAGATATAAATTGTCTTAACAAACAAAGGCTGTGGTTGTAACCTTCTGCCATGTTCACTGTGTAGGGATGCATTCAGCCACGTCCAGGAGAGGAGGTTCTGCATCAACCCCAACGTGGGCTTCGTGCATCAGCTGCAGGTCAGAGAAACGAATCACAACAAGAGCACTTAACTCATTCAGTAAAGGTGGAGTGTGTGATTCTGGAGAAAGGTTGTTGATATTTATGGAGCTAGTTAACATGCTTAGATAATTAGCATGTGTCAGATTCAGTCCCTTTCACTTTCGTTGCCCTCTTTCCTCCAGCCTCCCCTCTCCTTCACAGTCTCAAAGTCCTCACGAGGCTGTGATTGTGTCGACGTCAGTAATTGCTGCGTCAAAATGAAACTGCCCTGATGCTCCCCTCAGAATGAAAGCAGTGTGAAATATGGGATTGTGATAATACTGTCAAGAAAATGACGTGCAGAGAGACAGATTATGACAGATGACAGCATCAGTAGGGAGTGTTTATCTGGTGATGTGATTAACAGGGACAGAGCATAAACGTTGCTCGAATGCTCCCGAGACTATTTACCAAGACAACAACATTTAAAAATGCAGGTATTTCATTAACTTAAACAACAATTGTGGCATATTCATCCAAGCACTTGTACAGTCTACCTGCATTTTCCAGAATTATTGATTACAACCAGAAAGACGAGACCCTCACAAGCTGATGTTTTGACCAGACTGTCTGATTGTGTTGTCACGGCTGAAATGAGATTCATTTGGAGGACGGGCGCGGGGTGTTGTTTGTCTGTTTTCCCAGGAATATGAAGCAATCTACCTAGCCAAATTGACCATTAAAATGATGTCACCGATGCAGCTGGGCAGGTCGTTCTCTCTACAAGCTGGGATGCCAGGTTTGTACTCCATGTCCCCAGACGTGCACAGCCACACCTGTCCCCTCATGTCTGTGGATTACCAACTGTAGCTCAGAGGGAATAATACAACAAGATGAAGCACCATGTCTTAGTCAGTTAAAGAGTTGCCTGACTTTTTTTGTCAGACTCACCAAGATGTCCGGCTACATGACCCTTTAGTGATAATATTCTAGAGTTGGGTTGCACATCTGCTTATAAAGCAACTTCTAACAGTTATCTCTGTATCAGGCTCTCATCAGCAAATGAGACTAAGCTCCATTGTGCATTAATCTTGTGTAAAATCAGGAATTACTTATGTTGAAAAAGCTGATAACATTCAAACACTTTGAGCTTTTGAACAACCTCATTATTTTCCTTAAAGCCACTTTTGTTGTCTCTGACTAAAGGTTCACACTGAATAAATTAATCAAAAATCATTGTACATTCCTGTGATTGCTTCCTCATAAAGAGCTGATGATGTGTGCAGGATGTTCAGTCGCTCTTTTTGTTTCTTTCCTCCACATTTCTTTACCAGGGAGCCGTAAACGCAGCCTGGAGGAAGATGAAGACTTTGGAGCAATGCAGGTCACAGCAGCGCAGAACGGATGAGCTTTGCTGATATTTAGCTGTGTGGCACAGTGCACTCATTTTTTTTGTTTTTTTGTTGAGTTTTTTTTTTTTTTACATTTTTAATGGAATTAAAAATGTAAATATTTGAACTTTTTCTAAGGGGAGGGCTTGAGGGCGGGAGGGGGACCACTCCTGTCTGAGACACGGAGTACTGACGGGGTTCGCGCAAATTTGATAACTACTTCTTTTTTTTTTTTTTTTTCTTGAGCTGTATGCACTGATGGGAGATTTTTTGCAGTTTTATAGTATTTAAAGCATTTTGCATTTGCAGCGGGACAGTATTGCAATAATGCACTTTCGATACTTGAATTTGTGTAGACGACCAGATGGGGGGGGGAAGTTGGCAAAAGGGAAAGTAGCCAGAACGTGGCCCGGCGGAGGACATGACGAGAGGACTAGCTATGCCTTTATTTTGGAAGTACTAGGATTATGGACTAATATCAGTCTTAATGTGGGGGATAGTAAAAATGGAGAAAAATAACAACTCACTGCTTAATAAAAATATAAGTCCTGAGTCCTGTCCAGCTGTGTTTCTTTCTGTGTTGTTGTACTTTGTAACTCTACATGCAGCATTTCCAGTATGTTGCACATATTTTACAGTCACACACAAGAAAAATAGAGTGAAACTGTTCTAAATCCAGCTGCAACTATTGTTTTCACTGCCTTACACTGTTCCAAAGATGGCAAAAGTACTCTCATTCTTTACTTAAGTAGAAGTACTGATTCAACTCCTTTACTCAAGTGAAAGTAAAAAAAGTACAGGTTCAGAAAT